ACCCCCCGATCACCTCCAGTCCTCCATCACTGTTGAACATCCATTCATCACATCACACCTGGAGAAAATCAGTGGAAAAAAAAGAGTTGCACTAAAGGTACAGTTCAAAGATTGACTGCTCCGCCCCCTGATGGAGGAGGTGACGTTGACGCGTCTGAGCTCACGTGGAAAACAATGTGGAAAAATGCATGCATTTACAACAAACATTCAGGTAGAAACTGTAGTTTGGACCCACAGAGGACCGCAGACCTTAGATTAGAACCAGTGCATGCAGAAAAAAAAAACAGTGAAAATCTGAACATGGAGGAGTGATGATCTGGTGGACAGATGGACAGATGGACAGATGGACAGATGGACAGATGGACAGATGGACAGATGGACAGATGGACATCATCATCAGAACCTTTCAGAGGAACAGAACCAACAGTGTCAGCAGCAGAGATCTTCTCCCTCGTTCCTCCACGTTTACACCCACAGTGTTTTTGGTGATGGTTGCATTTCTCTCCGCCCACACACACACACACACACACACACACACACACACACACTTACTCTATTATCACCAGGACACACATAAAAAAGAGTGATTGTCTCGGCCCCCGCTTCCACAGAACAAACCTGATGAACGGTCGACCACTCCGACCTCAGCGCTGTTGAAATGTCCACGGAAACTTCCAGAAGGACCTGAACCGCAAACCGTCGTCCACTGTAGGTGGAGAAGTTACAACCTCATACTCCAGCAGGGGGCGACTTTGAAGGTTTACAGTCCAGTGAAAGTTCAGTTGACTTAGTTATAGTTCAGTTGACTTAGTTATAGTTCAGTTGACTTAGTATATATAGTATATATATATATATGCTGAGGACTCTGGGTCGTTGTCCTTCATGGATTCCTTCTATCACCTCTAGGTGGTGCTGCACACTGGTCCATTAATACAGTGTTTTGGCTCATTGGGTCAGAAGGTCAGAGGCCAAACATATAAAAAAAATGTTGTCCTCGATGAAATGTAGCAAAATGATTGGTCGGAAAAAAGGAGCCCACAAAGAAAGGAGCAGTTGGTCTGATTGTAGCAAAAGTGAGGGTTGTGGCCCACATCCTGGACCAGTGACCAAACTGATCTTTAATAGGAACACAGTACATGGTGGCCAAGCATACAGTAGGGGGCAGTAGTTCAGTATCCACACAAACACACTATGCCTCAGGACTTCCCATGATCCTCCTGTGATGTCACTCAGTCACAGTTTACCTCAGAGGGGGGGGGGGTGGGGGGGGCAGACACTGGACGTCTGAACAAACAGCACAAACATTCAGTTCCAACAGACAGACAAAAAACCCCTGACAGTCCCACATGTCCCCATGGGAGGTCGCTGTTTCCTACACACTGGTCATGTAGCTGAACGTGTCTGAACCTCTAACTCCAGAGCAGGGAGAACCTGACTGGACCGATTCTGGTTCTCACAGACGTTCCTGTGTTTGAAAATGGTCCAAAGGGTTAATGAAGCAATAATAACAGCAACATTACTGACACCTACAGGTGGACAGTGGAATCACACCATTCACACCCTAGTCTTGCTGCACCTTCAAACCAGCCATGATCCTGATTGGGTTCTGGTTCTGTTTGGAACTGTGTTCCTGTCAGGGACTAATCCTGACGGAACCAGAACTGTGGATCGCTGGAATCATCAACCGTCATGTTTGGTTTCTCCAGCAGGAGGAACAAAGTTCTTGTGTTTCTTCAGCTTGACACGCCCACTGATGATGTAACGCTGGTCCTTAAGTGTTCAGGATTTGGTTGGTGAACCGCGACCGTGGCGTAGCGACGGAGCTAACGGTGTGTAAATAGGGTTGAAGATGCGACGATGCATGTTTACACTTTATCGTTCTTACTGCGACGACGATGCAACATTTTATTACGATCTTCAAAAAACTGGTCCTTTAACCACATGATTAAAAAAAAAAAAAGACGCCACCTTAAGAAGAAGAACCACGTCATGGTCAGACGTCCAATCAGAACCTTCTAAGTCATCACTATCCTGATGCGGCCCACAGCAGGTGACCGTCCAAGATCTTCTAGATCTGGTTCTGATTATGGGTTTCCTGCCCAGAACAGCGTCACCTCTGGTCAGAGTTTGGCGGAGATGCTGTCCACGTCTCCTAAACTGGACCACTCTGTGGCCAAAGAGTCAGGTTCTGGACACTAATGCTGCCACCTACAGGCCAGTATTTTATATTTTGTTTTTTTTAGCTGCTTTCTGACATGAATTCAAAGTCAAGTTAAAAAAAACCCCAAAAAAACCTGTTCATATACTTGTCTGATATTATGAGCTAAATTCCAACCACCCTGTCACTTGAATGGGCTTTTGAGCTAACTGTTTAGCATGTGACGCTACCTCCTTTGGCTAACTGTTAGTTGTTTGAGCTACTTTTAAAAATGCCAATCCTTTCTCTGATAATTCATGTCTGAAAGCAGCAACAAACTCTCTTGACATCCTGTTTGCTTCTAACTTGTCTTTCATCACTTGTGTCTTTGTCACTTCCAGCACCTGAGAATGTGATTTTTTATAACAAGAAAATCAAACAGTATGATAAGTGTGTTTACACTGGGACAAATGTACGTCCCGAAGTGCATTATCTGAAAAAAAAAAAAAATTCCAATGAATGGATAAACTTGCTTGTGCACAGTTTGTGGGTAGAATTTTTTTGTAGCATCAAATTGAGCACCAAAAAAACAAACAAAAACTATGAACTATGTTCCTGTTATGAACCTGCTCAGTAACTGTCCCTGTATTAGACAGTTATGACAGTGTTATCGCCACCTGCTGTCCTGGTGTAAACCTCAGACTCAGTGTACATGCAGCATGCTGACCTGTAGACTAATGCTCAAAATAACAGTATTTATTGCACTATTCTGTACAGTTCACCTCCTGCATGAATCCATCCTGACCTTAGGTGCTTATTATAGTCAAGGACCCTCCCCTCCAACCCCCCCGTCCAGGTCTGCTTCTTCTGAGACCCACCGTGACATATACGGTGCAAATATATAATCTCCTTTGCTTGAAGAAATAACTAATGATTATTTATATCTTCATACTGTGTGGAACTATGCCCAGACTTTTGTAAATCTCTCTTTTTCTGTATTGAATAACGTATTACAATTAAATCAGTTTTCAACAGGGACCCACGCAATTATTATAGTCAAGGACCCTCCCCTCCAACCCCCCCGTCCAGGTCTGCTTCTTCTGAGACCCACCGTGACATATACGGTGCAAATATATAATCTCCTTTGCTTGAAGAAATAACTAATGATTATTTATATCTTCATACTGTGTGGAACTATGCCCAGACTTTTGTAAATCTCTCTTTTTCTGTATTGAATAACGTATTACAATTAAATCAGTTTTCAACAGGGACCCACGCAAAAATGTGTGCGCTTGTTTTTTTTTTTTGTTACTCCTACTCACTTTTACTGTGTTTACGGCGATCTTATTATTATTATTTTTATTATCAGAAATGCGTTAGTTTCACAGTATTGTCAGCCTTATTATTACACCTTTTTTTACTCGTGCTATAGAAAAGTATTTGACCTTTAAATTAATTGTATTTAATTAATTTAAAAAAGTCGAAAGAAAAAGAAGAAGAATTTAATTAATCGATTTCTTAAATAGTTCTATACAAATATGTCCGTTTCATTCTTTTAATTCGGTTACAGGACACACTTCCGTATTCCTGTCTTTCCCTTTTCTCTTCCGGCTGCTGCCAAAGGCGCCCTGGCCCTCAGCCAATCAAGGCGGGGCAGGAAGTGACGCATTCAAGCGCACGGAAGCCTCGGCGGAGGACGCGCCAAATTTCAAAGAACTTCCTCCTCGAAGAGACAGAGAAGAAGAAGCAAAGAGGAAAAGAGAGGAACGGCGACAAAATCCTTTCAGGAAAAGACAAAGAAGTCAAAGTTAAAGAAAGTCCGGAGGAGTTCGTCGAATGTCGGCGGAGTCGGGAGCTCGACACGACACACACGCAGCGTGAACGTGTGTGTGTCCGTGTTAATGTAAGTGTTTAAAGGCAGCGGTGACTTTCACTGTCACTTCACTGCAGCCCAGACGCTGCTGGGCGTCAGAAACGGAAGGTTCGACAGTAATTTAACGTCATATCAGTCTTGTCACGGATGTAAAACATTGTACAAAGTGACAGATATTTAAATCGTCTTTGCACTTTTAATTTGGTGCTTTATCATCTGAACGGATGACAAACACGGGGTTTTAGTTTGTCTCTCTGTATCGGCTTATTTAGTCTGACGCCATCTTTTTTTATTAGCACATATATTTAAGCTAATTCTTTGTCTTTTTTTCAAGCATCATAACACGTAGTTTTGTCAGTGTGACGGAAAATGGCGTCATTACATCACAAAAGTCATGGGAGAAAAGTAGTAATTTGTGACATTTGTGAACGGTTTACTACAGTTTACTCACATTTTCTCATCTGTCCCGGTTTGTTATTAATATTTTCGGTAGAAAAATATAATTGTACGAGTTTATAAATGAGTCCCGGCTGAAAACCGTACGGAGGAGAATGATACGGGATCAGAAATGGAAAATATCGCGATATTTCAGTCAGAATCCACTGAAATTTGAAGATTTTTCTTTCTCCTTCTCTTTCTAGATCAGACATGAGACGACGGATGTGTTTCAGAAAACTGTGATTTTAATCTCTCACACACACAGTCAGATGACAACTGTTGACACTTGGTAATATTAAAGCGTCACAGCTGCAGCTAACAGTCGCAGCTGCCTGTCCTACTGGACAGCTTTATTTTCTCTCCTCATATTCAGGCTGTTTACATCACACAGGAAGCTGCGTCCTCGCCTCTGGACGAGACGCTTCACCTCTGCTCCTCTTCAACCTGTGCAGCGCAGCAGGGCTGAGGTCTTCAGTCTGTGTAAAGACTCCTCACCTGTCTGTGCTCAATCACACATGTTCCCTGTGTGTGTGTGTGTGTCGTTCACTGCCACACACTTCACTGATTTACTTTAACTCCAGCTCCAGAGGACATGGCTGTGTGTCTGTAATGGGATGCAGCCCACTGTAAACCAGGGCCGGCCACAGTTCAGGTGAGGCCGCAGGGAGGCTCAGAGAGGAGGAGAAGGAGGAGAAGGATAGGGAGGAGGTGTTTTTTTTTTTTTTTTTTTTTAGTGGTGGCAGGCAGTCAGTGCTTCCAGTCATGCTCTCCGGCGTGCAGCCCTGCTTCCAGCTGCTGCGCATCGGGCCTGCAGGGGGCGACGCGTCCCGGGACCTGTATACGTTCAGGCCGGGCCTGAGCCGCTGCATGTTCCGCCTGGGCCGAGCGGCGGAGGTGTGTGACGTCACGCTGAACTCTACGGTGGTGTCGCGCATCCACGCTGAGCTACATGTGGAGAGGGAGGGGAGCGGGGACCAGGAGGAGGCCTCACAGGAGGAGGGCTGGAGGGTCCACGTCAAAGATCGGAGCAGTCATGGTGAGAGAGAACCTGCAGTTACACATGTCGTTACACGTGTACGTTAATGAATATTTGTTTACTGGTATTTTTACCTTGTTTACTGGTATTTTTACCGAATATTTGTTTACTGGTATTTTTACCTCTTAACGACTCACTCGAATCACGACACCATGTGATTCTCACCTTCTTACAGGAACCTGGGTCAACGAGGTCCGCCTCCAGGCTGGCATCCTGTGGGAGCTCTCCGATGGAGACACCCTCACCTTCGGGGGTCAGACTGGACCGGGGAGCCCAGAGTTTTACTTCCTGTTTCAGAAAGTCAAAGTTCGGCCTCTGGACTTTGATGCCATCACCATTCCGAAGGTAAACCCGTGTCCCGGCTGGTTGGTTTCCTGTCCCGTGGCCTCGGGGTCACGAGGTCACTCTCTTACCGGTGCTTGGTTTTGTAGGCGGGGACGTTCTCCTCCGATTTGCAGAACAGGATCAGGACCAACTCGGATCAGAAGGTGGAGACCAACCTGGACCTGTCCAGGCTGTCCTTGAACCGGGCCACCGTCATCCTCAGCTCCATCGGCAGCCTCAGTAAGATGAAGGGCAGCGCCTGGACCTTCAAGAGGAGCCACAGTCACGAGGGCGCCGTCTCAGACTCCGGCTCCTCCTCCACGCCTCCTCTGGCCGTGGGTTTCTCCTCACTGCTACCTCCCTCCGCGGCGCCTCAGCCTCCTTCTGCTCCAGCAGCACCGACCCCTAAGACCCTCCAGTCCACCTCCAGGAGCAGGAGGAAATCGGCCCACACCGTGCTGCTGGAGGACGACAGCTCTGACGAGCCCAGGAGTAAAGGAGGTGAGGAGCAGAGGAGTGTGTTTACCTACGATGTACTGATAAAAAAAGTGTCTAAGGTATCGCAATACATCGTATCGTTAGCCCTGTAAAATATTGATATGAAACGTCTTCTCTTCTGTGATATTAATCAGATCGTCGTCAGCGTAACCGTTGACACGTTAAAACGTTCTTCATCAGGAGCTGGGACTTGAACCCATGCGTCCTCACCTACTGATAATGGATTTCCATGTGGTTCAGTTCTGACAGAACCTGTGGTGGAGCTCCAGAGAGTGAGGGCCAAGAAGAGGCGGAGACTCTACAAGTCGGAGTCGGAGAGTTTTAACTCTCCCACTCCTGCTCCGCCTCCTCCTCTCACTCCTCTGCTGCGTAAGACTCACACTGACATCAGACGCCCCCTGGAGGCCAAACCCTTTCCCGTGGGCATCCGGACCATTGGCAGCTTCCACGGCGCCATGACCAACAGCAGACTGAACCACCAGCACCTCCTGCAGACCTCCTTCAGCACCTCCTCCGCTCACACACCACGGGTGGAGTCGGTGCATCGCATCAAGACGGTGGTTCAGGGCAACATGGCCGCCTTTCGCCAACAGAAGCCGGCCCACTGTTCTCCGATGGCACAGAGGGGCCGACGCAGAGCTCACAGCTCTCCAGTCTTCTCCCCTCTGGTGGTTGGAGGAGAGAACTACAACCTGGCCTCTCCTTCGGTCAGGGTCCACGCCCAGGAGATGGGGAGGGTCCAGGTCCAGAGGTTCCACCATCAGACCAGGTGAGATGTTCGGTCTTCCTGACGAAACCTTTCCTCCTCTGAACTGCACCTCCTTATTTCTCCTCCGTCTCCTCTTCTAGTAAGCGTCGGGGTCGCCCCAGGAAACACCTGCTCCCTCCGCGGCCCTCTCTGCCCTCTCCGTCCTCCTCCTCTTCTTCTTCCACCTCCTCGGCCTCTTCTTCCTCCTCCTTCCTCCCCCCCCCCCCCCCCCCCCCCCCGCGCGGGCCGCGCCCGGCGA